CCTAACCTATGTGGTATTTAGACGAATTATATTATTCAAGGTCTTAAAATCAACCAAAATCATTCGGTTTAAAAAATTGGTCAGCACAAAATTAAGAGATTAATTAGTTTAGAGAGAAGACATAGAAGGCAGTTTGGAAACTTCATGTCTCTATGGCTTAGATGAGTTTTTAGACCACTCTGTTTTAGCCCATGAAAATCAGTGATCACCTTGATTTTTATTTCTTTTTTGTCAAGGTGGTTTTTATTTAGATTTTGCTCTTGTAAGATCTAACTCTTCTTTTTATATGATATTAACATTCATAGCAAAAAAAAAAATTAGTTTAGGGAGTCACTTATAGTATACAGTATAACCGTTGTTTTGTTATACTTCTATTTACCTAAATATTTGTATTATAATTTTTAATTCTCACTCCTTAACCAAAAGAAAATAATTTCTCACAATATTTTCCTTGTTAATATTTATAAATTCTACAGGAAATATTTTGGATAGAAAAATGATGGGAGAGGATCTCTTCTGGGCAATAAACGGAGGAGGAGGAGGAAGCTACGGTGTCGTTTTAGCTTACAAAATAAACCTGGTCGAAATCCCTGAAAACGTCACCGTTTTCAGAATCTCCCGCACTTTGGAGCAAAACGCGACGGAGATCGTTCACCGTTGGCAACAAGTCGCGCCGGAGCTTCCGGACGAGCTTTTCATAAGAGCATTCATCGACGTCGTAAACGGCACCGTCTTGTCTAAAAAGACCGTCAGGGCAACTTTCATAGCTATGTTTATCGGAGACACATCGACGCTTATGTCGATCATAAACCGGAGATTCCCAGAACTGGGTCTGGTCCGGTCTGACTGTACCGAGACGAGCTGGATCCAATCGGTGCTTTTCTGGACAAATATCCAATTTGGTACGCCGGAGAAAGCTCTGCTCCAAAGGAACCAGACCGTCAATTATCTCAAGAGGAAATCGGATTACGTCCGTAAACCGATCTCGAAAACCGGTTTAGAATCGATCTGGAGGAAGATGATCGAGCTCGAAATCCCGACTATGACTTTCAATCCATACGGCGGAAAGATGGCGAAGATTCCGTCGACGGCGACTCCGTTCCCATACAGAGCCGGGAATCTCTGGAAGATTCAGTACAGTGCGAATTGGAGAGAGGATCGGTTAACGAACCGGTATATGGAATTGACGAGGAGATTGTACCAATTCATGACTCCGTTTGTTTCGAAGAACCCGAGACAGTCGTTTTTTAACTACCGGGACGTTGATTTGGGGATCAATTCTCACGAAGGAAAAATCAGGAGCTATGAACAGAGTAAGAGTTACGGGAAGAAGTATTTCGCCGGAAACTTCGAGAGGTTGGTGAATATCAAGACGAGAGTTGATAGTGGTAACTTCTTCAGGAACGAACAGAGTATTCCTGTGTTACCGTAGTATGTATATTTGAATTTGGTGATATTTGATTAGTGAATTTGGTGATATTTGTAAGTCTTATCTGTCTTTGGTAAATAAAAATTGAATTTATATGGCTAGCTATTAGATTTAGAAGCTCGGGCATATCTCTTTTGAAAAAAAAAAATTAATAGAAATTAAGATGAAAACTTAATTAAGTAGATCAGAATAAACGAAAATTGAATCAAATTTATATGTAGTTTGAAATTAGATTAAGATGAAAACTTATGTTAAGATATCACACTTTAGTCTGGTGTCCTCGCTCCATTGGCAGTTCTAGGCCTTATTGGTTACAAATTATATTGGTAACAGTTTGTATTATCAACAAACATGCATTTGTTGTAAAAAAGAGTTAATAGTTCAATAGTAATTGATTATGTCTAGATTTTTCTGCTATTAAAATATATAGTTAAATAATATTTTTATAATGTAGTATGCAGCTTTGTCAAAGCTAAGCGATCAAATACGTAAGGAAAGACCTTTTCAGTTTGTAAAAAGTGATGCTAAAATAGAACAAAAATCTTCATATATTAAACTTATAAAATGTATTCACCTCTTTCTTACCTTTTTTATCTTTTCCAGAAAGAAGGATATACAGATGAAGATAATAACATTAGAAAATAGACCTGATAACTTAGAGCTTATAATTTTAGGATATATAAAAAGATAGGACAAATAAAGCACCATATTAAGCATAAAATCTCCCCATATTGAGTAATTGACTTAATTTACAAAGATTTATGCCAAAAAGATACACAAACTACAAGAATAGCCGATTGTCTATTCATGTCAAACTAACAAGTATATAAGAAACGCAAACCCCTACGAATCTTTCAAACCATATTCAACAAAAAAGAGGGTGGTGGTAACAAAAGAAACAGGAAGAATGAAATCTCCAACAATCAAAACCCTAATCATCTCCCTCTTTCTCTTTACAATCCCTACATCATTCGCATCACCACCAAACCTCGAAGACGTTTTCACACAATGCATCACCAATTTCAAACCTTCAAACCCTAAATCTCCAATCCAAAACTTCACATACACTCAGAAAAACCCTAAGTTCCTCACAATCCTCAACAACTACGTTCGTAACCTCCGTTACTTCAACAACACGACACGTAAACCCGTAGCCATCGTAGCCGCCGCTGACGTCACTCACATCCAGGCCACGATCACATGCGCCAAGAAACTCAGCCTCCAGCTCCGAATCCGTAGCGGAGGCCACGACTACGATGGACTGTCGTATCTATCAACGATCGATTTCATCGTCTTAGACATGTTCAATCTCCGGTCTATAGAGATCGATCCTAAGCTAGACACCGCGTGGGTCCAATCCGGTGCTACGCTTGGAGAGATTTACTATGGAGTCGCCAACAAAAGCAACGATCTCCGGGGATTTCCAGCCGGAGTCTGTCCCGGTTTAGGCGCCGGCGGGCATTTTAGCGGCGGTGGTTACGGAAACATGATGAGGAAATACGGTTTATCGATTGATAACATCATTGACGCTAAGATCGTTGATGCTAAAGGAAGAGTCTTGGACCGGAGCTCAATGGGAGAAGATCTTTTTTGGGCCTTACGTGGAGGAGGAGCCGCTAGTTTCTGTGTTGTCTTAGCCTGGAAGATCAAGCTTGTTCCCGTGCCGGAGAAAGTCACGGTCTTTAACGTCATAACCGTTGGAAACAGAGGAGGCGTGAACACCACGGAACTAGTAGTAAAATGGCAAGAGATCGCAGACAAGATCGACAATGATTTGTTCATTAGGTTAACTTTAAGCACAAGCAACAAAACCGTGAAGGCTTCTTTCATGGGAATGTTCCTAGGAAACTCATCGAAGCTTCTTGAAATCACGAACGCGAAATTCCCCGAGCTTGGTCTGAACAAAACAGAGTGTATAGAAATGAAATGGATCGAGTCGGTTCTGTTCTGGCTCGATATCCCACCCGGTACAGCACCAACAACGGTTATGCTAAACCGGATTCCACAGAAGCAGATCTACCTCAAGAGGAAATCCGATTACGTCCAGAAACCGATCTCAAGGACCGGTTTAGATGCGATATTCAAGGCTCTGATAGAGAACGAGAATGTGACAATGGCTTGGAACCCGTACGGAGGAAGGATGAGCGATATTCCATCGACCGAGACTGCGTTCCCGCACCGAGCGGGAAATATGTTCAAGATTCAGTACGCAGCGAACTGGTTCGTGCCAGGGGAAGCAGTGGCTAACGAATGCTTGAGCCAGACGGAAAGAGTGTTCCAGGCAATGAGCCCTTACGTGTCAAAGAATCCAAGAGAGGCGTTTTTGAACTACAGAGACGTTGACATTGGCACGAGTTTGAACTCGACGTACGAGGAAGGTAAAGTGTACGGAGTGAAGTATTTTAAGAATAACTTCGAGAGATTGGTTCAAGTAAAGACTAGAGTTGATCCAGACAACTTTTTCCGGTACGAGCAGAGCATTCCAGTGCACTCCAGGCACTAGAGAGACTAGAGAGACACGCTCTTGCTTCTATATTGAGAAGTTTTACCAAAATATTTAAATAGTAAAATAACCTAATCATTTGATGTAAAAGGCGAAGAGTTTGAGCTCTCTGTATCAAATTGAGACTAAAGACCTTTGTCTTGGATTAGAAGATGAGAAGTCAATTGTTTTCTTGTATATGTACTTTGGAAATATATATTTATTTTGTTTCTACAGAAAAGAAATGTGTTAGAATTGTCAAAACTTATCTATCACTTAATCGGATCATGGATATATTGTGTATTCTGGATTTCCGTATCAAGTATCAACCAAATTCTTGATTACCAAATATTAACATGTCAACTTGTGAATCCTTATCCATTTCATTTGACAGTACGCGTCGACTATTTTTCATTTATTCGAACCACTATTTTTTTCTGTTTGACAGTCCTACACATTCAGATAGTGACATATATGCAAGATGTATACAATTATGTTGACAAAGATATTCAAAAGCTTCTCTCTATAGTTTTGGATTACGCGGAGTATGATAAACAAAAACTTGGACGATAAACAATGACTTGCACGAAACAGATACTGTATGTGTTCAAATACTTAAATTTATTTTTAAAAAGACTTAATCCGTAATGCATAACGCATAGGCTCTATAAAATAATCAAAATCTCCTATCCAAAATCTTTCATATGAACACTGCAAACTTGTACAAAACTTAAAAGTCATATATTAATGACACATTATCACCTTCTCGGCTTTTCGCGTACATGAGTGATCAATTCAAAAGTAGAACAATAATAGGTAGAAGTCAAAGTCAAATATAATCAGCCTCCTATATATATATATAGTCTCTTATGTATTATGTGTGTATATTTAAGTATATCGTTTATAAAACCAAAATAATTTTGATCGGTAACACATTAGAAATAAAAATGAGGAACAATAGGTAGAAAAAGGATTAAATAAAAATATCACTGGTACACAAAAACACTCTAAAAAAATAAAAAAATTACTTCAGAAAATGCGAACTTTGAATCTCCTCTATATATAAATACACCCTCACACACACACGAGCTTTCAAAAAGACAAAACCGAAACTCCCAAAACTAAACAAGCAAAAACTATGGAAAAATTACTCGTAACTTCTCTGCTACTAATCGCAATCTCAGTTGCAACTTCACAACCCGTGACCGATCCGGTCGCTTTCCTCCGATGTCTTGAACGACAGCCAACAGACCCGGCGAGTCCAAACTCCGCCGTCGCCTACATCCCAACAAACTCCTCCTTCACCGCCGTCCTCCGCCGTCGCATACCCAACCTCCGTTTCGACAAACCCACAACACCAAAACCGGTAGCAATCGTCACCGCCGCCACGTGGACACACATTCAGGCGGCGTTAGGATGCGCCCGCGAGCTCTCTCTTCAGGTCAGGATACGAAGCGGAGGCCACGACTTCGAAGGACTGTCTTACACCTCCACCGTCCCGTTCTTCGTCCTCGACATGTTCAGTTTCAGAAATGTTGACGTTAATCTCACCGAGGGAACGGCTTGGGTCGATTCCGGCGCTACCACCGGAGAGCTTTATTACCGAATCGCCGAGAAAAGCAATGTCCTTGGGTTTCCGGCTGGTTTGTGTACGACTTTGGGAGTTGGTGGACATTTTAGCGGCGGAGGGTACGGAACGATGATGAGAAAGTACGGATTGTCTGTGGACAATGTTGTCGGATCTGGAATCGTTGATTCCAATGGGAATATCTTCACCGACCGGGTTTCGATGGGAGAAGATCGGTTCTGGGCGATTCGAGGAGGTGGGGCGGCGAGTTTCGGCGTCGTGCTCGGATATAAAATCCGGTTGGTTCCGGTGCCGGAGAAAGTTACGGTTTTTACCATCGAGAAAACCGTCGGAGAAGGAGCCGTCGATCTTATTATGAAGTGGCAGAGTTTCGCTCACAGTACAGATCGGAATCTGTTCGTGAGGCTGACGTTGACTTTGGTCAACGGTACAAAGGCTGGTGAAAAAACGGTTTTAGCTTCTTTTATTGGGATGTATTTAGGCCGGTCTGATAAGATGTTGAACGTGATGAACCGGGATTTCCCGGAGCTAAAGCTGAAGAAAAGTGATTGTACCGAGATGAGATGGATCGATTCGGTCTTGTTCTGGGCCGGTTTTCCAATCGGTACACCAACCTCGGTATTGCTTAACCCGACGGTTGCGAGTAAGGCTTTCCATAAACGAAAATCAGACTATGTGAAACGTCCGATTTCGAGAACCGGTCTCGGTTTAATACTCAAGAAATTGGTGGAAGTTGAGAAAGTGAAAATGTATATGAATCCATACGGAGGAAGAATGGGTGAGATCCCGAGTTCGAGGATACCGTTCCCACACAGAGCCGGTAATTTGTACAAGATCGAGTATCTCGTTAGCTGGTCAGAAGCTGGAGATGACGTGGAGAAGGATCATTTGGCACGTGCGAGAGAGATGTATGAATTCATGAGCCCGTACGTGTCTAGTAATCCGAGGGAGACGTTTTTAAATTACCGTGATCTTGATATAGGGTCAAGTGTTAGTTCCACGTACGAGGAAGGTAAAATCTATGGGGTTAAATATTACATAGACAATTTCGAGAGGTTAGTGGATATTAAATCTTCCATCGATGCGGAAAACTTTTGGAAGAACGAACAAAGTATCCCGGTACGAAGATAATGAGGACGACACGAGTGTTGTGATTTGTAACATGTATTGAAAGTGAATAAGAACCATGTATTAAGATCTTCGGTTCGGTATATTGTTACAAAATGTATTAAGATCTCTGGTTTGAATGTAAAGTCAATTAACAAAATAGACGTACAACACTAATTGCGATGCTGTAAAATGTTACAGATAAGCATAAACTTTTATTTTTTAAGTTTACCAAAAAAAAAAAAAAACATCAATATCACAACACCACTGCCACCATCATCGACTGCTGGTCGACAGACGACAGTAGACGTGGCTTCAAGAACTACAAAAAATTAGATAAAAACATGGTTTATGTTATATCTTCTTTGATCTATTGATTCCCAAGATCTCCCATTGGCATTTTGGTTCATGTATATTTTTCCTAAAAAATAATGGAAGGAAAATCACTATTCCGAAGCATTTTGTTTCCTTGTTCTTATTCTTGTTTGCCAAGGTAACAAGTATATAGGTTTAACTTTTGTTACATTCATTCCATTAATGATATTTACAGTTTTAGCAAAAGAATGATAACAATAATAATAATGGAAGATCTTTGATAGCTAACCACTTTTTCTGAGCAGCGTTGAACAAATGATTGATCGTTAAAGTTTAAAAATGCATTAGCGCAATTATGCTCCATTCAGTGGCACTTGTTTGTTTGTCTACTTTAAGTTAGTAATAGATGGATTTAAACGAGTTTAAACTATTTGTAATTAGTATATTTTATTTAAACTGTTTCTACTATCAGTTAAGCGCTGAATATAAGAAACTAATATGTTGTCAAATTGTCAACTTATGAATCTTTTATATACCAAAGGATATCACACTCAAATGCATGAACGATGTATACATTTGTTGACCAAGACATTTCAACGCTTCTCTGTATTAACGCGGATTTGATATAAGCAAGACTTGCACGATATACAGATATATGTTCTTTGACAGATCTTACTTTATTAAAATAAAAATAATACTCGATCCGTACTGCATCACGCATAGGTTACACATATATCTTTTAACCGCCAAAATCTCTCATTTGACCACTGCAAGCGACAAGCTTTAAAAGTCAAGTATTTAGATTATGACACGTTATTGGCTATCGCGTAGTGCGCATTAATATGTAAGTTGAAGTCAAATATATTTAGTTTAGTCCACTATACCATTAAATCTGGATAAAAACACATTAGCTGTAAAAGAACGTGAAAATAAATTGTATATTCTTTTTATATAACTAATAATCTCATACCAAAACCTATACTAATCGTTTGAAAAAAAACCTATACTAGTCTCTATTATTTGTTAAAATATCGTGACATTTGTTAAAACCAAACCCTGCTGGTAGTATATATATTTTTAAAATGATATGTAAATGAGATCATTCAATTCATGATATTAGAGAATAATATTCTTAACTAATATATAGAAAGTTGGCCAATCAACTCATTACCTATCGATTTTGAGAAATAAGTTAAAAACTCATATTGACTTTAACATGGAATTAGATTCCGATCCAAAATGTTCAATCCGATCTGTAACTGAGGTAAAATTAGTGATATCAAAATTGACCCAACCCAAAGTTGGCCACATTGATTCATATCCGCACATAGCAAAATCAGATTGGAATTGGTTTTGAGTTAGCTTATATTCACAATTGAATACAATAGATTATAACAGGAGAGAATAAGCTAGTTATGTTGATAACAACAGTAAGCTTGTCAGAACTCAGAACCGTGCTCCGAGTCTCTTATAACATGGTATAACAATCCATATCATATATATCATCAGTTTGACAATTTGTTTTGATCTTTCACAAACTATCTGCAATCTTAAAAAGGAGAAGATTAAATTTTCAATTAGGTTTGGATAAGGTACTCGGACTAAAAGTTAGTTCTTTACAAGCTTCGACATTGAATAATAATTCTTCTCTAGACAGACATTCAATAACTCCACTATTCAATTAGAGAAAAGAAACATTAAACTACAAAAGAAAAATTGTTTATACTCAACTACTATTGAACCAATAAGAAGCTTGGATTACTATAAACTCTCTCATCTATATAAATATAGACACACACAATCAAACAAATATATCTTAATCCAAACTCCGAAATTTAACCAGCAAAACCAAAAAATGGAAAAATTACTCTTAGTCTCTCTGCTACTAATCTCAGTTTCAGTAGCAACTTCACAACCCATTCCCGATCCGGCGACTTTCCTCCGGTGTATCGTACGAGAGGGATCGAACCCGCAGACTTTCACATCCGCCGTCACCTACATCCCAACAAACTCCTCTTTCACCGCCGTCCTCCGCCGTCGCATACCCAACCTCCGTTTCGACAAACCCACAACCCAAAAACCCCTCGCCATCGTCACCGCCACCACGCAGGGCCACATCGGAACGGCGTTAGCATGCGCCGGCGAGCTCAACATCCAGGTCAGGATCCGAAGCGGAGGCCACGACTTCGAAGGACTCTCATACACCTCCACCGTCCCGTTCTTCGTCCTCGACATGTTCAGTCTCAGACACGTTGACGTCAATCTCACCGAGAAAACGGCTTGGGTCGATTCCGGCGCTACGATCGGAGAGCTTTATTATCGAATCGCCGAGAAGAGCAATGTCCTCGGGTTTCCGGCGGGTTTGTGTACGACATTGGGCGTTGGTGGACATTTTAGCGGCGGAGGGTACGGAACGATGATGAGAAAGTACGGATTGTCCGTGGACAACGTTGTCGGATCTGCGATTGTCGATTCGAACAGGAATACGTACGCCGATAGGGTTTCGATGGGAGAAGATCGGTTCTGGGCGATTCGAGGAGGTGGGGCGGCGAGTTTCGGACTTGTGCTCGGATACAAAATCCGGTTGGTTACGGTGCCGGAGAAAGTTACGGTCTTTAGCATCGGAAAAACCGTCGGAGAAGGAGCCGTCGATCTTCTAGTGAAGTGGCAGAGTTTTGCTCATAGTACAGATCGGAATCTGTTCGTGAGGGTGACGTTGACTCTGGTCAACGGTACAAAGCGTGGTGAAAAAACGGTTTTAGCTTCTTTTATTGGGATGTATTTAGGCCGGTCTGATAAGACTTTGAACGTGATGAACCGGGATTTCCCGGAATTAAAGCTGAAGAAAACCGATTGTACTGAGATGAGATGGATCGATTCGGTCTTGTTCTGGGCCGGTTATCCAATTGGCACACCGACTTCCGTGCTGTTGAACTCGACGGTAGAGAACAAGTTGTTCATGAAACGGAAATCAGATTATGTGAAGCGTCCGATTTCGAGAACCGGTCTTGGTTTAATACTCAAGAAATTGGTAGAGGTTGAGAAAGTTGAAATGAATTGGAATCCGTACGGTGGAAGAATGAGTGAGATCCCGAGTTCGAGGACGCCTTTCCCACACAGAGCAGGCAATTTGTTCAACATTGAGTATGTTATAGATTGGTCTGAAGCTGGAGATAACGTGGAGAAAGATCATTTGGCACGTGGGAGAGAGATGTATGAATTCATGAGCCCGTATGTGTCTAGTAATCCGAGGGAGGCGTTTTTAAATTACCGTGATCTTGACATAGGCTCAAGTGTTAATTCCACTTACGAGGAAGGTAAAATCTATGGGGTTAAATATTACAAAGACAATTTCGAGAGGTTAGTGGATATTAAATCCACTTATGATGAGATAAACTTTTGGAGGAACGAACAAAGTATTCCGGTACGAAGATCATAAAGAACACACGAGTGTTGTGAATTGTGACATCACTGACATGTATTAATTTTTTCGGTCAATAAAGCAATGAATATGTATTCAGATTTGATTCTATAAATCCTTGAAATGTATTAAGATCTTTGGTTTGAAGATAAATACAAGTGTGTTTTGTTGTCTTCCATTGCTAGTGAGATAGTTAATTTATTTGAAGACTTGCTAATGAGATAGTTGTGTCATATAATATAAAATTTATGGATTGTTTCATTTAGTATCAATTGAACTGATTTTGAATGGAAAGTTCATAATTCTTATTAACACACACATATCTTTTGTGTATTTCATGCATACTTTTGGTTTTTTTGTTTACATATTTAGATATTATCATGATTTCCGTATTTTATGCACACTTTGGTTTTTGTTAACATAATTGGATATGATTTGATTTGGACAGTTTATTCTTGATTTTATATTTCTTTCTTGATATGCTACCATTCTTCTCTTCATAACATCTCTATTCAACTTTCCTATGTGTTTATTTGCGAGAAATGCTAATTTTCAGGATTTGGACAACTTCATTGACTATAATACCCTCTCTAATTCCCCTACATTTTGGCTCCATTAATGTTCTAGTTACCATTTTTTGACCGAGAATTTAAAGTAATCGCACTTTCGCAGAGAGCCAAAGAAAATTCTTCTATTAATCCAAATCTCTAACGAAAACTCATATGAGAAAAAAAATAAAATAACAAAGAATCAAATGTATTTAATTCTTCTTCTTCTCTTCTTTGCTGCATCGCACTCATCATTTGGTTCTGCAGATTCCGCGAATGTCTACGAAGATTTTGCCCGATGTTTCACAAACGAGACGAGTATTTCCCATAAGGAGCTCTCCGGCGTCGTTTTGTCCCGTTCTAGCGTTTCCTTCACCACTGTCCTACGCGCATACATCAGAAACGCGCGTTTCAACACCTCCTCAACGCCGAAACCATCGGTCATCATCGTGCCACGTGTCGATTCCCACGTTCAAGCCGCCGTGATCTGCGCCAAAAAGCTGAATCTCCAGCTCAAGATCCGGAGCGGCGGCCACGACTACGACGGCCTCTCTTACGTCTCCGCCGTAACGTTCCTCGTCCTGGATCTCTCCAATTTCCGAAACATCACCGTCGATTTGAACGACGACGGAGGATCCGCCTGGGTACAAACCGGCGCGACGCTCGGCGAGCTTTTTTACCGGATCTGGGAGAAGAGCGAGGTACACGCTTTTCCCGCCGGACTCTGTCCCACCGTCGGCGTCGGAGGACACGTCAGCGGCGGAGGATACGGACACATGATACGAAAATTCGGGCTCACGATTGATCACGTCGTCGACGCCACGATCGTCGACGCAAACGGCCGAATTCTTAATCGGAAAACGATGGGAGAGGATCTCTTCTGGGCAATTCGTGGCGGAGGCGGAGGAAGCTTCGGCGTCGTTTTGGGTTTCAAAGTGAAACTCGTGGAAGTTCCAAAAACCGTAACCGTTTTTAGAGTCGATAAATCTGTAGACCAAAATGCCCTCGACATGGTCCATAAATGGCAATTCGTGGCTCCAAGAACCGACCCGGGTCTGTTCATGAGAGTGTTGATATCCTCTGTGACGCGGAACAAGACGCAGACGGTGAACGCTAAACTGAGAGCTTTGTTCCTGGGAAATGCAAACGACGTCGTTTCAATGCTGGCCAAGGAGTTTCCGGAATTGGGATTGAGGAAAGAGGACTGTAAAGAGATGACGTGGATCCAATCACTCTTGTGGTGGATGAACCACGTGGACGTTGACAAAGTCAAACCGGAGATTCTACTCGAGAGAGAACCGGATTCGGCCAAGTTTCTCAAGAGGAAATCGGATTACGTCGAGAAGGAGATGACCAAACCAGAACTAAACCGGTTGTTTAAGATTCTGGCGACATTAAACAGAACCGGTTTGGTTTTAAATCCGTATGGAGGGAATCTAAACGCGACCGCAACGAACGAAACGGCGTTTCCGCATAGGCACAAACTATACAAAATCCAACATTCCGTGACGTGGACCGATGCTGGACCGGAAGCGGAAAGGCTTTACATTGGTAATGTAAGAACGACCTACAGAATCATGACCCCGTTTGTGTCGAAAAACCCGAGAAGCTCGTATTTGAACTATAGAGATATCGATATCGGGGTTAATGATCATGGAACCGATAGTTATCGAAAAGGAGAAATCTATGGTAGGAAGTATTTTGGCGAGAATTTCGATCGGTTGGTTCGAGTGAAAACCGCGGTTGATCCGGATAATTTCTTTAGGAATGAGCAGAGTATACCAACTTTACCTCCCAAGAGAAGATCGACAATGTCACCGTTGTAACTTCTCTCTAGTGTTTCTTCATGGAACTTGGAATTATTATTTAATAGATTTAGCTGGAGCGATATTTATCATGGCACATACTTTGTCATATTACACGTTTTGCCGAACGTTAATTATGTTAACCAAATAGTCAACAATCTTACTAAATAAATGGTCCAAAACAGAGGTAAAACAAAAACATTAATTAATAATTTGAAAATGTGTCGCTCTATGAATCATCAGCAAACAAAACAAACACTTTTGGCGTCAACATTAATCAGATGATTAAAGATTAAGGTTTCTGAGTTTAAAGAGGTTGGCCACTTATCCACCTCTTGAACATGATTGAGCTCTCCTCTGGTTTATACTCTAACGTGTGTCCGCCTCCCTAAATAAACCAAACAATACCAATCAAGAAACCTGTTTTTTCTTCTAAAAAAGCTTTGCAATATTTATGCCAATAAAAATGTGGGATCAAAGATTTTTACTTTAACAGTGGCAAATGTCATCCTATTAGCATAAGTCTTGGTGTATCTGCAAAGAAAAAAAAAAACAATATTGTTGATCAGCTTATAGTAAACAAATTAAAAAAACCAAAAAAGAAACAAGTGGTGTATATACCCAGCGACTTGATTATTTATCATCCATGGCCTCCATTTCTCAATAATGGAATAATTTAATGACCTTATCCAGTCTTGCGTTGAAACGAAAGGAATTGTCATATCGTGATCACCACTGTTCACCAAAAAACACCAAGCCAGAGAAAAGTTTACAAATAACTAATGAAAGTAAGCTTTTGAAAAAGCTGTTAAGTTTGTGTATACCTGAGGATGAGAGATCGATAGCCTTTGATGCTAATATTCATATGGTATGGTATGCTGCTTATTATGTCTTTATTGCAACGCACATTATAATCACATCGTTCCCATTTCCCTTTAGTCCCCTGCAATAAAAATTTTTGATCATCAGTTTTTTTAACCAAAGATCAATGATATTAATATACTTTTCATGTCATATACCTTCACCACTTTAAGTGCTCTGCGTACACTCTCGTTATTAGCCCAGTATTCAGATAGCAAATAGCGATACGTCTGTGAAAAGAAACCTTGTCAATATTCTTCTCTAGAGGTTTGTCAAGTGGCTAGCCTTTATTTGATCCAAAGACACCAAGAATCTTACATAGCAATTAGGAGATGTAGAGTCACAATTTGATTCTAGGATAAGTTCTTCATATATTCTTGAAACACACTGTAATTTAACGACACAATTCTAAGTTAGTGATTCTTTACCATTGAATAAGCCAAGTAAATTCCAGAATGTGCATACCTTCTTGAAATCTTCAACGAGTCTCAAGCACTCTGTGTTAAGAGGATCCACATTAAAAAGTTTTCCTTTACAGCTTCTTTTCATCGACTACAAAATAAGAGTTTCAAAAATGGTCGTTAATTAACCACTTCATTGTGGTGATATTGTAAGAGACAAAAGTAATCCTAGATTTTGTAATTGGTACCTCATTAAGTTCATCAGAGATGAGTGCCATTCCATGAGCAAATTGAATGCGACTGTTAAAATCAAGATCATAGTCTGTTAACGGGTTTCCGAGCACATAACCCTGTTTTTTTCGAAAATAAAACAGTGTCCTGATCAGTTCTTAATGCTTGAAAAGGTATATGGAAATGATGTAAGAAGCAAGCAAATAATGATAAACCTGGAGATTTATTTGAGGTTTGCAGCATATATAATTTCCTGTGATATATAGGTAAAATAAGTAATCAAGAAACAATAGTCAATGAAAAAGGCTTGCATATAATAAGTAATCAAGAAACAGTATTCATAGGAAAAAGGCTTGCATAGGATTGGAGTGATAAAAGAAAAACTTACCATTTGAGATTTCTTGAACAATGGACGGAATTACCTTACCGGAATAAGAGTTTCCGGTGACATAGAAAGGATTGGAGAAATACTCAGGATGCTTGTCTAGCCACTGGACAACAGTCACCAACAAAAGCTGTCTTTATAAAAAGAATGAAAAACAATAACAAATTAAAATCTCCACAAGTTTGAATTTTCCTTTTACCTTACGAACAAACTCATGGACCCGCTTAGCTGATCCTGTGTCACTTGGTATATCAGCAAGTGGATTTCTTGAGTAGGAGAAGCCAGTCCCAACAGGCTGGTCCAAGTAGATTATATTCGCCACCTGAAAAAAAGAAGCAATGATCTTAAAACTTGAAGATGAAGAAGGAAGCAATGATCTTAAATCTTGAAGATGAAGAAAGATTTCATTCTGAATAAAACAGTGTGTTTACATCATATGACAATTGATAAACAAAAAAAAAAAAAAAAAACAGGATATTACATCCCAAAAGTTACCTTAGTCCATGAATATGTAGTAGACACCAAAGAGGGGATACTTCCATTGTAAGGCTCAACCTTGAAAGCAAGAGGACCTGATTTTTTTTTATCAATTCAAACAAGTCACTAAGAAATCTGCAAACACAAATAAGAATGAGTAAAAATGAAGATTTACTTACCATTCTCATAAACAAGGCCAGAGAAAGAAGAGCAGCCAGGTCCTCCAGTTAACCAGACAAGAAGAGGGTCTTCTTTTGGGTTCCTCTCAGATTTGATGAAGTAGTAGAACATTTGATCTTCCTCAGCTTCACCAACACCAATGTACCTGAAATGAGTTTAACTCCAAAACTCAGAACACAGGCTCATTACAATGCTAATTGAATTTGGAGATGAATGAAGCGGAACAGAACCCGGTTTCAAGCTCAAAAGGAAGAGGGCCTTCAAAACCAGGGAGATATCTGATGATGGAGCTTGAATCAGCATGCTGAATCAACACAAGAAAAAGTTGCGTAAGCAACAACTTGAATATCCAAGAACTCATTTTGTTCTGAGTGCTATGACACAAAACCATCTCTATAGTCTATACTCAAAGACAGAGGCGTTGACCCCAAAAAGAAAAAATGAAAAAACTGCTGGAAGCTTTTCGGTTGAGCATCGATTTAACCATATAAACCGGTCAATTGCCAAATTTAAACCCAATAAACTTGGGTTTTCTAACCGAGCAGGTTGGGGTTTTAGGGTTTTTTTTCCTTCAAGTACCTGGGCACGTGAGAATGCACGTGAAAGGGACATAGTCGCATGTAAAGTGCGTCTGCAGCATTGATTGTCCAAGATAAATTATTTTTTTAAACTATATGTAGCATTGACTTAAAAATCGGACACACCCACCTTTCGAACCGGTTTAGCATGCTGAATCAACACAAGTGCCAAAAACGCAGCCCGTAGCAGCAGCAACTGCCAACTCGAGCAACATTGTGTGTTCTTTGAGTTGATGCTACATTTAGCATGAAAACGTCATTATGCTAAACATTAGAAACGTTGACCGTTAGTCTCTAAACCGATAATGTTTTGGGTTAAATCTTCTCCTTCTCTAGATTTGATAATACATATTTTGTTTTTATTTATTTATTTGAGAACCGATTTAAGATAGAGAATAGTTTGTAAGGAATGGTTAACATCTATGTACGAGTTTTAAATGAGTGAGCATATTACTGTAACATGTAGAAAAGAAAGGGTGCATTTTTTCTTGATACAAGTACAACACTGAAGAAAAACCACTTGTCTTAAATTAAAGTTTCAAAACTAAGTTGTGATAAAATTTCTGACTTGAAGTTAAAACTGTATTAAATGTTCGTTTCACTTTGTTTCATATACTCCATAATTCCATATACCGGATAACCGAAAACCAAATTAAATCTTAACCACACCTGGACATAAAACCGGAACACTTATCAAATTACAAAAAGAAAAAGATTTCAGTAATTAATTATACACATCACACACTCTTAAACTATAGAATTCAAGACAGAAAAAAACGAGTTATAAAACAAATATAATGAAAAGTTGTAAACCAAACTATTCAAAAGCTCCATATGATGTATAAGTTTCGGTTCAGTTCCTCTCTGTACCGTGCAATGCTAGGAGAAGAGCAATCCAGATAAAGACAATCTTTGTAATGGAGACCTCTAGCTTCGAATTTCCATTAAGAAATGGAACACCGTTTCCCGAGAGACCGTTCTGGTTGAGTCGATTCCCAAATGGCTGATTGAGACCAGAATTAGAAGAAGAAGCAGAAGAAATTGGTTGGTTGAATCCAGTTGATGATGGTTGACTAAACCCGGTTAATGGTTGGTTTAGACCGGTTAAAGGTTGGTTTACAGAAGAAGAAGAGGAAGATGGTTGATCAAGAATCGGTTGGCTGAGTCCAGTTGATGATGGCTGATTTAATCCGGTTAATGGCTGATTAAATCCGGTTATAGGCTGGTTTACAAAAGAAGAAGAAGAAGTAGATGGCTGACCAAGAATTGGTTGGTTCTGGCTCTCAATCGGAAGACCTTGTGGCTTTGTTGGTGAGTTGATGACTTCTCCTGTTGGTTCTAATGGTGTGGCCAATTGGGTTTGTGGAGCAGCCTCTGAAGAAAATGAAACCAGAAGGCATAGAAGAATGATTGTGAGCATCCTCTTTTGGATTTCGGCCAATTTCATGTCCATTTTTTGAGATTTTCTAGTGCATCTTCCGATTTACTAAACACTAGATCTTATAGATAGACAAAACTGGAGTTGTTAGCTTCATTAACTGGGGTTGTCTGAGGAGTTGATGGAGAAAAAGAAAAGCAGTTGACCAGAAACACAAATCCAACTGAACCAACCAATAGTGTCTTTATTTTATTCCAACTATTATATAACTGTTATATGCTTATGCTGTGTTATATACAAAAAATGATAGAATCTATATAAATACAGAAGAACGGATCAAAAAACCGGTTCTCAAACCGCCGCGAGCTAAGCCTGTCGGAAAGCGAAATCCAAACCATCAAGAACATCCAAATCACTAGAAGAATTCTCACCAGAAAGATCAACTTTTGGAGAATTTCCTGTACTTCTGCTCAATGCCCAGATCTTGATTCCTTTCTTGTTCTTCTTCAAGCCGATGAACTCTTGACTCTTGCTTAGATTAGGACCAAATCTTATGCTTTGGACACTGTCCAACAACAACCTGTCTTCAAGAGAGAGTTGGTTTTTATAGGTGAAGTCAGGAGAGAGAGCTAGTTGCGTCTTGGAGATGTTGTTGGGTTGAGAGCCATGATTGGTTTCTGGAGACTTAACGCCGTGAACTCGTTTCTTTGTTGACTTCATTAGTCGATGAAGCCATACAACGAGCTCAAGTACATATGAGTCAACTTTCGGTTTATCTGCGTGATGAAGTGTCTGAAGTCGTGTTGGATTCCCGTTGCTCTCGCCTTTTCCCTTGCCAAACTCTATCCTACTTTCCACAATTCCAATTCGGAGTTTTAGATCAGATTCAAGACTCAAGATTCAACATTCCAGTTGTTAGAGAGGGAGAGAGACTTACCTTGAATTCGCCCACTCGCCCACCCATCCGAAGCCTTGATGTGCCCTTCGGAAATCGATAAAAAGATATGAAATAAACGCACAAGGAGGAACATGTTGAACAAATAATGGTGGTGAAGGAAAAGCTTACTTGGTGGTGTTTGTGGCGAATGGGACAAGCCATTGAAGCGAATTCTCCATTTCAGCTTTGATCTCAGATATTGAAAGCTGCAGAAAAACACAAGTTAGGCAACAAAAGAAGCAGAACCAAACAATGCATGCCGGCATAATAGAGAAACAGAGCATTGTTTGGACAAACCTCTTCCTCATGATCAAGAGTTTGTAGCCGAGGCCGAAGAGATGTCTTGACGGTATCAGGTAATGCATTGTAAAGCGTGTCCCTTACATTAGGAGGAAGTGATGAAGGTCGAGAAGCCTAGAAATTTCAAGGAGATCAGTTTCAACCAGAGAATATATATATCAGAATAAGAGTGGTGAGAATCTGGAAGCTTACAATACTATCGATTTGTTGGATTAGATTAGCATAGTGTAAGGAAAGACCAGCTTCACCTAATCGTTCTCTTCCCTGCTTCCCTCCATTGTCTTTTAGACCTATCGTTGATTAAGACCATGATAGTTGAGATTTGGTTTTCCAAAAATAGGGTAATAATCAGAGGGATCAGAAGTACAAAGAATCATTACCGTTGTTGCCAAATACTTCCACAATCGTTTGACGTACGTAGCAAACCACATCTACAAGCTTCTCAATTATCTGCATCAGAAAAAATATTGTAGTAACTGACATATATATACACCACATACTAAGACACAGCAATTCAATAATCACTTGCCTCTCCTAGATTACGGGACCAGAGCGACTTCTTCTGTAAGCTCCTCACGAGTTTCCTCTGTTGTTTTAGTTCATTTTGTAAGATGATGATACTCTCTCCTACATGTAGGAAAAGAAAATGAAATCGTGAGTCCTAAAATAAGCCAGGGATGATCAAATAAAGAGCGATTTGAGATCAACCTCTACGAGGGAGGTTTAAAGACTCTACTTCTGCGAGCTTTCTCTTGTAATCTTGTTCAAACCTATCCAAAGCTTGCAACTCGTGATATAATTCCTGATAAAGCCAAAGCAAGTTAGCTTCAAATCCCCCGTAGAAAAAAAATGACAGCTCATTGCAACTTCAGCATGGAAATAGATCATGTAAGAGTTTTGAAGTGAAGAAAAACAAAACGTACAGAAGTGAATCGGGCAAGAGTGACGAGCTCTTGCATCCTTGCCTCTGCCTCATCTTTGAGCAGTTTATGCTGTGAGTTCTCTGTGTCAAGCCTGAAACGTTATAGACCCGTGTACAATGAAAATCCACTGGCATGCGAGTAACTAAAAAAACATTGCACATGGACTTGCACTTACTTTTGAAAATATCGATCAAGATTGTGCCACTGTATATCTTTGCACATATTGCCAAATCTGACCACCTCTCCAGAGAAAAGATCAAGTTCCTCTCTAAAAGAAAGATTCATGATTTAAGAACAAAAAAATGAACCAAAGAAAAAAACGATTGGGGATACATTAAAAAAATTAAGCAAACCTTTTGTCAGAAGCAGCAAGAATTTGCAACTCTTTGGTGTCCGTAGAAACCAACTTCTTAACTCCCTTGGAACGCAACATATCCTTCTTCATGAGCTTGAGATTCTCTTCAGACAGAGATTGCATCAAAGCAGCACCTTTGGCTATCGTGTTGGCCACTTCGAAGGCCAATATAGTGACTTTGCCACCACGAGACGATGTAACACCCGAGTGAAACCCGTTGCCTGGGTTCATACCAGACATGCTGCTCCCTAGCGTGTCCAGAACTTCCACCGCCTTCTCTAGCCCCATAACCCCAGCTCGTCCTAGAAACGAGTTCCTCTGCATAATCTGTCGAAAAACAAAATCAGAAACCAAAATATCCATCAACAAACGATTCATGTGTCCTTAGAGAAATTGCACGTGATCAAACATGTAAAAACAGCTCTAAAAAGCTTTTGAAAGAACAAAAAAAAGAACCTTGGTAGATTCTGTCCTTAATGGAGGCACCGGCCCGAGTTCACCGGAAAAGTTAGAGGATTTCTCATTAGGCTTGGAACTTTTGCGCCTTGAGCTTTCGTAATTGTCTGAATAATACGAATCAGAGGTTTTTCTTCTTCTCATGGACTTGATTTTACCAGACATCCCTCTTGTCTTATCATCATCGGTGGATCTCAACTTCTTATCACCATCTTTGAAACCATGAGAACAAACACCTCCCATCTGTCTTCTGCAACAAGTAATCGAAACCTCTCAGGGAAAAAACGCAACTCTTGAGGATTGAAATCGTAATCAGAATAATCAAAACCTGAGAGAAATCAAGAATTGCAACTACGGTGGGAACAAGAAGGAGGACTTGGTAAAATAGGAGACGGGATTTGAAAGTGATCAAAGTCAAAACTCAGGAAGAGTTTTTATTATATACCTCCATTCACAAGCTAAGAAGGAAGCACCGTGGAATCAATGGCTCCTTTTATTTTGTTGACTTATCATTTTTCTAGAGAAGTCAGAGACACGACTATTCTCACTTTCTTTTTGCCATTTTTTAAAAATTTGTTGTTTATCGAAAGAGAAGACCAGAGTTGAAGATATCTCGCCGTCCTTTTTCGTACATGAACAGTGACGTGCTTAGATTATTAATTTTTTTCAGCAATCTTCCGTTGAATTTTTCGAATTTTGCCGATGAGAAATCTAATCCCATTGATTTGATATTTTTCAAGTCTATTGAAGAAGAAGAAGGAGAGAAGACATGCTTACTTGTTGAGACGCGGCGGTAAAAAACAGGAGGAAAATTCCGGCGCCGGAAAAGTAACCACCGCGGTGGCGATCGGGAAATTCTGGTTCTTATTTTCTGTTGCTGAACACTCCGGCTTATTCCCTTGAAAACCGGAAAAATCTCGGAGAATTCACGGTTTGTTGGACGTTTCGGCATCGATAGATAGTTCGTTCTCTTTCGCTTTTTACTGGATTTGAAATGTTTGATCTGTGATCTTTTTACTTGTTTAGTTTACTGATTTGCCTGAAGAAGATGAGCTCGGATCGTCGCAGGGGTGTGTAAATGTGGAAGATCAGTGTTTAAGTCATTAAGAGGTGAAATGTATGTGGTCCAAATTGATAAAATGGGCCACTTTAGGCCCATCTATTTAGAGCCATTTGTGATGGTTCGAATTTAAAATTTGTCTTTTGGGTTTGTTGATTATTTCAGTCCCGACCTGTGATCTAACAACAATTTATTACAACAAAAGTAGTTAAAATGGCATATACAGTATTACACAAAGTATATTAAAATGTCATATATTTCTACAGAGAAAACAACATATACTACTCAACTAGTTAAATGGCATGAGTAAAATCGTCCAAAACTTTCACTTGATAAATTGGAGCTCCACATAGGAAAAAAATTGTGCTAAAAGGTGATTTAATCCATTTTACTACTTTGAAAAAGAAAAAAAATCCATTTCTAATATTATTTTCCTAATTGTTATTTTTTATATAGTGGCATCTAAGAGCAACCTCAATCATGAACTCTTCATGAAGTTCATCAGATTTTTTGTATTCATTTAATTTTGAGAAATGGAAAATTTACAATCCTATCAAATTATTTCTTTTAATAGTGATTCCCATCAAAGAGAGAGATTGTCGCAGAAAAGAGAGAGCTTGTCACATAAAGCAAAATTTTTAATAGAAAATGGACGAGAAAAATCAGTTGTTGGGAAGACGGTGGTTTACAGAAATGGTAACTAAGCTATATATGCCTTTAAGTTCATGTCTCTACTTGGTCAACATTTCAATTTAAAGCTTTACTATGCTATATAGTTAGGACATCTATACTAGATTCTTATGTAGTACCATGTAATTTTCATATCAATATTAATTATTGACTGACAACAAAGTAACTGGTCATAATAATCACACAAAATTCCAATTACAAACATCTGTCAGCGTAAAAATAGATGGAAGTAATATTGTAGTTTGCTGCTCCATGTTGTCTAAGAAATTGTCCCTTCATAAATGTTTATATAAATCGTTATTTACAGATGCGGCATTCAGAACAAAAGTTAATTATGTGCTCGAGAGTATTAAACTGTTATTTAGAATTAACCATAGTCTTGGTAAACGTTTGACTTCTAATTGGTCCATGACAAAAATGTATCCAATGACTTATTGGTTTTACAAATTTCAAGGTAATGAGAAGTACTATTAAAGAAAATTGGTTTCACGTTCTTAAGATTAAGCAGGTTTCCTGAACTGAAATTCAAAAAAAAATATTTGTTATCTTTTTAATTAGGATAAAATCACAAAAAAAAAATATTTTTAAATGATTGTGCAGTCTTTTTTTTTACTATAGTGTAAGACTAGATAGACTCTTTGGAAAGGATATTAAGGATATAAAGAAACATAAAAAGGGATTGAAAGTACATTTATTGCTTTCTTCAGATCATGATGATTTATATGATCATATCAAATCATCTATAAATTTAATATTATATTTTTTTTTTCTCTTGAAACTACAGTTAAATGTTATCCAGAAGAGATATTTTATAGCAGAATGTAATAAATTATAGATAATTATAGATATAGACTACTTGTGTGGGTGCTTACTGCTTGGGCGTGCAGCGTGCGAGTGTTAAGTTTAGTATTTTGTACCTTTATGGCTAAACTATCATGCCAACTTGGTTAATTAAATGGTTAATAATATATCTTTTTCTTCCAATTAAAACACTAGAGAATTTTGAAATCGCAGAAGAAAAACAATAACTATATGACTAGCATCCAAAGTTCAATCCATGTGAAATTCCCAACCAATTGTTTATACACGTCCTGTTTCCCTTGTTCTATTGGTCGACATCTAATGTTGATTTTTTTATTTGTTGAATATGATTCGACTTTGCAATATTCAGCTGGTACTTAAATCGACAGATTAAATTGGAATTGACCCGATCCAACCATACATATGTCACACAGAAAGTGCTATAACATCTAATTACTTCTGGTATCTTGTGGCAAGCATTATCTACGAGAACGTGACTAATAGTGGATCATGACATATTTAGTAATTAGTATGTCTATCGACTCTTGTAAATAACAGTATAATACAAGAAAAAAAAAATATGTAATCTGGAGTTCAAACTTAAAAACCCTTACGTACAGAGAATTTAATTTAACACATACGAAAAACTGATATGATTTTTTTTTTTTTTGAGTCGTTATGTATTCTTGTTACATCAAGAAGAATATAAGATTTGCATGCGGATCCTGTGCCGGTTGGTGAAACTAGATAATTATATAATAGATTTATGGACTTGAGTTTGATGGAAGGTTGTTCGGTGCCTGACTATATATATATAAAGAACGACTCTACTGACCCGTACATATTCATGAAGTACTGGTTACTTAAAATTAATTTTAAATCAAAATTTAAACTATGTTTAAAATCATATGTTCTTTGACATGATTTCACTTCATTGTGATAAAGGTATTATGATTTTGTAACATAATATACGAAAAATTTACTATATAATATATGAAATATATTATTTCTTATATTAAACATTATATGCTTCATTGTTTATTTACTATAATTTATCCGAATTGAAGAAATGAAGCATTTGAGATTTTTGAATGGATCTTTCCATCTGGGTGCATGTAGTCTGCATCATCACATGCATATCTATTTCACCGAGTCGTTTTTCAAAACAATGTCTAGATCATTAAGCTTTTTTTAGGGTTGGAGCTAGTCTAATAAGAAATTATTTTGATATTAAATTTATCGCTTATTTTTTTAAAAAAATAATCACTGGGTGGTCATAGGTTTTGTTTTCTCAAATAGCCAATGTACTACTAGTCGGATTTATTTTAAATTAAACATATTTAATAAAAACATATATATTATTATATCGTTGCTTTTTCAGAAAGAACAACAAAAATTTATCTGTATACGCATACGCAACGCATAAGACCATAAATGTGTCTCTCGCTCTGTAAATATTTATAAATACTAAATAAACCCACGCATAAGACCACCCACCAAAAGTTGGACGCGCATCAATTGAAGATATTGAAGGTGTAAAAAACTGACGTAGTTGATTTGTTTTTGAGCTTTTGAGTGCTTTCTCTATATGCGCATTAACCGGCGCAATCTCTCAATGTACACATTGAACAAATACAAAAATCAATTCAATTTTTTTTTTTTTTTTTTTTTTTTAACTTAACTTCATTATATTAAACCGAATCAACCCCACAGAAATACAGCACGTCAAAAGCAGATCAACAAAAAGGGATCTGTGTTAGCCTATCCAAAAAATTATACCTAGGCAGTTAAGACTGAAAGTTAGTGAATTCAAAATTAATATCATACTAATATATAATGTTTAATAGCACCTAAATTCCAAAAGTAAATCTACTTACGTGGGTCGATCCTGTAAGCAGTTAGAGCATCAACAACAACGGTGATACTTAGCCCATTTTGCATCGATGCTTAGCCAAAAAAAAATGAAAAAAGTAATTAAAATGAATAAGCGATGCTTATTTGAGACCCATAAGCATCGATGCTTATTGAATTTAATAATATTTAATAGCTAAGCATCCCAAAATCAGTTGCTCCATTGCTGATGCTCTTAGATTGTACGTTCTTGACACCATACCATCAATCTTAAATTTGTGTGTTTGCTATGATTTTGACGTATCTAAAACAAGAAGTTTGTTTTGTGGTAAAAAGTTTCTTATCGATCGGTTAATATATCGATTCTTCCCATCTTACGAATTTTAACGATTTTAGGTTTTTGTTTTGCTATTGGAGACAAGTGAGAATTTTCAAACCTATTTAAATGAAATTAGTTGACTTATTTTGTACTTTTGTTTTTTTCAAATCATTTCCCCAAATTTTCTTCAATTGAGAAGAAGAATTGTCGGCAGAGTTGTTTTTTTTTTCAACACAAAAGAATTAGTTGCTTTTTTTTTTTTGACAATCAGTACATGGGGTTTCTTCGAAAATAAAACACCAATTAAAGAATATGAAATATTTATTCCCAAGCAGAGCTACTGATTCTTTCACTTAATGAAGAGCACAAACTTAAAATGGTGGATGCCCGTAAGGCTACTTGGTGGTGGATGCCCATAATTAGTTCCCTTAATTATGTCATATCGGCTACCTTAAAAGTTGATAAGACATAATTAACAAAGACTCCGAGTTATGATTGCATTTGCATTCTCTCTCTCTCGTCTTTGAAGTGTTGTAATTAAAATCCTTATTAAATGTCATATATTAGCAGCTAATTTTTAAATCAAATTCGAAGTCAATCTATTATTTTTTTCAACTTCTTCTAACCATTGGTAATGCTTTCTACTTACAGGCATTCTTACCAAAGCAAAATTCCACATAATATACTAGTTACGTACGTTTTCAGTTTTAAGTTGATTTTTTTAGGTCAAGTGGATTCACTAGTTGGGTAAAAATACTACTTGGACTCTTGGAGACATGTTTGTTCTTTTTCTATTAATAAGTGTGATTATGTCAAAAAATTACAAAACTGGCATTTGGAAGTAAATATGCGCCACTTTTGCCATTGCATAGTTAGTATTAAACAATGTTTTTAGTGCCAAGTTGTTGCTTTTAGTCAGTAGCCCCCTTCGAAACTACAAAAGTAAAACCGAAATCTACAGGATGTAAACATAAGGGATTTTGGGGAATCTCCTCAAATTTAAAGGGTGTTGAAAAAATTGAGGCTTATTTACAGGTCAAATTTGTTGACTTCTACAGTGGCTACGTATTCACAAACATATTCAAGCTTTGAGTATGGAGGTTTCAGTAATGGATTATATTATAGTAAATCATCAACCATTCTTTAACAAAAAAAATCATCAACCATTTTTCTATTTCTAGAAATACACATTTTTTTATGGATTTCAAGAAAATAACAGGGAAAATATATAACTAAATTTATATTTATATTCATTTTATATATTACATCTTAAATTTCAACACATATATAACAGAATCATGAACGTTGTGAGCAACTCCAACAAGACGGCAAAACGCCA